CAGTCTAGCCTCCCACAGAAACAATGAAGCTGGTGTCCATAACCAGAAGAAATATCAACTAGCTGGTGTCTGAGGATAATCCCAAGTCCCAACCAGACCACTGGTCTGATCATCACCAACCCTACAATTTACAGGTACTTTTTGAATATTAAATGCCTCTACCATGTTTATTTCCTTTAGATCAATTCAACCTTGTGGAATTGTTTTCATACTAACTTCTGACCTAAGGGGGGCCCTCTTAAGCCTTAAATGTGGACCATCATTTGGTGGGCCCCAACTTCCTGCATGTGCAAGCTTTTGTTCAATACAAATCATTATCACTAGACTGTGTAGACTTAGTCAGTGACCCAACCAGTAATTTATTGATCTCTTTATAATAATAGCAAAGCTCTGGTAGCCTCAAGGCTTGAATTAAAGTAGGCTTTAAATTAGATCTGTCACATGTGGTGCACGTATGCCCTAGTGTCACTCACTATTGCATCATAAGGGGGACAACAATTAGATCATCATGTGATACCAAATTCAAAACTGCATTAATCTGCATTGCCCAATTTCTTATTATTCTCACTTTATAATTTGTTTTTCTTTTATTTTTTCTGTGATGTTGCATTAAGTAATTAATGGGTCATAGATTTAATGGTTATTAATTTGTAATCCTAGTAAGTTAGTACTTCTATGATATACCGCTTTTAATAATTAGAGATTGACCTTTCATAATTCACTTCTCTTCTAGCTTTTAGTTATGGATTGGGTGTTCAGGAATGCTCTCAGCAGTGTTGAAAGGGCCCAAGTTAAGGCCCATTTATCTACAGGCAGCCGACCCAAAGATGGATATAAGTTGCACAAGGGAGGCTATAACATGTGAAAAAGGAAGAATATATATGAATAGCAGAATAAGGCAAACAACGATTGGGTGGGTAACAATGAGAAAACTTGAGTCCAGCCCATTCATCAATTGGACCAGATTTTATAGCAGTATGGTTTCTCTAGGTCTGGCCCAAACCCAGATCAGGAAGAAAACAAGCCCACTGCAAGAAAGTCCAAATCCAAATTGATGGTTGATTATGTCGATGAGGATGATAACATTATTCATGTTGCAGATCCATGGTTTTTCCTTGCTCACTTCCTTTCTGTCATCTTTTTCTAGATCATTCACATGATAGAAAAGTCTGTAGTAATAAAATAAGGTGATTGTTTGCTTAATAGGGATACATCTTGTCTTAATGGAAATAACATTCTTATTAGTAAATTAATAACAAGCATCTGATCTCCTCGGATGCTTTTCACTGTGAGCTCAATGTCAGACCTGTTTTGCTGTGGGTGTAGAGAATAAATTGGAATATCTGGACACAGAAATAAATATATAAATGTAACTTCTGGATCCATTTAGGGAAGCTAGAAGTCTAGACTCCACACCCAAGCCAGTTGTAATTTTATATATCTGACTTTGAAATATAAATGCTGCTTTAATTAATGCATGTCTGGTCCCACATAATAACAGTTAAATTCATGGTTAACCCTAATTTTGTAGCTTGTAATTGGGGGGGAGGGGGACACTACTGTGAGCATGGATGCATGGGCTCTTTGGGCTGGGCTGACCTACATTCAACTTTGAACATAGAAAAAGATATGGGCTGGATCCATATATTTCCTGAATTCACTCAAATCTACGTTTCCATAATTGTGTTTGGACAGTTTTTGAATTTGAATTAGGAGTGTGAATTAGGCTATGAAGTTTCTTTTCTACCTGTTTGTGTGTGTTTAGTGAAGAGTGAAATGGAGTTGGACCCAAATCCCATATGAAATCAAAATGGACCAGTTCTCAGGAATTAAAGTGACAAGAAAGGTGTCGTCTGTTGTTGTTCATTTCCAATTGCATGTTGAAAGGGCCTCAGTAAAACTAATCACTCCTCTCTCTCTCTCTCTCGATCCATTCCATACCCATGTTTAACATATCTGGATCCATATGTCAAAATGGATCCGACTGTGTAGTCATGGGTAATATTGGATCTTATTTTAATACGTGCATTTCCTTCAAACTCAAACCCAAATGTGTAAATGAACTAGATAAAGATGAACCATATGTCATGAACATGAACATGGGTCGTATATAAGTGATTCAACGTAACCAAGCCTAGATCTGGTCTGATGGGGGAATAAGTTTGAATGCTTGCTTTAGTCCTTATTTGATCTCATAGGGACCCATACCTGATCCATTTTATGCATTTGAATTTTATCCGAAAAGAGAACCCATATATGGATGAAATTCCTATTGTTAGATTTGGGCTGGGTGAGCACGGCCGTGCCTTAGATTGAGTTGTCCATTTCATGCCCTAATGCATCAAATCATATCATATCCATGTCCAAATCCTTGTCCAATGATGGGTTTTCCTATTAGAGGTATGGAGAGTTGGAAACAAGTCCGAACCAACTGGATCTATTTCAGATCCAACCCATTCATGCCCTATCTCCAACAATCTGCTAGCTACATGATTGAAAACCAACTCCAAATAAACACATTTTAAGTCCACTGGATCCAATTCAATGGAAATAAGTCCAAAATGCCAATTCCAAATTCACAAATCCACTTACCTCCTAATTCAATGTTCTGAAACCGGGATGTCCCAACTTTAAAACTTTTTGATGGAATTCCTGTGGTAAACTTGAGGAAGAATTGGAGAGAAGTGGCTGATTTCGAGTAGAGGTGTCAATGGTATTCGAAAATCTGATTTTAAATTTGAGATTCGATATAATCGGTGAATTCGGATATCCTATTCATATCAAATAATTAATCGGATTTAAATTCGGATATGACCTTATTCAATTCGATAAGAATCCGAGTTCAATCGATTATTTAATTTTTATATATAATATATAAAATATTTAAATGGTTTATACAATTTATATATAAGATAATTAAATTATATAAATAATTTATATACTTTATATAAATAAAATATTTATTTTATATATTTATTAATTACCTAAAATAATTAATTGATCGAATTTGAATTGAATCGAATATTCAAATATTAATTTTCAATGTCTGTTAGATATTGAACCGAATTTGGATATCAGATTTTCTAATCGGATTCAAATTCAAATATTGTCTGATTCAATTCGAATTCAATCTGTTTACACCCCTAATTTTGAGCCACTGAAGGAGTTAGTTGTGCCTACTTGGTCTCCCCATACTAATGGATTCATCAAGTTGAATTTTGATGGTAGCAGTGAAGGAAATCCCAGACTTTTAGGTATTGAAAATGTTTTTAGGGATGAGAATGACAAAATTGGGGCTCTTTTCTATGCTTCCATTGGTGTTGGAGATTCATTAAGAGCAGAAATCCTTGCTGTGGTGGAAAGAGCCAATGATTGCAATGCAGAATTGCATTAAAACATGATTCAATGAAAAGGTAAATAGATTATGTAACATATATTAATATCGAAATTTAAAGTGTTATAAATATCCATTCATACTCCATGATTGCAATGCAGATTTGGCCTAGAACCTATATTCACCCAAAGTCATAGTGATTTTAAAACTGACTTGAAAATGAAACCATTTATTGGTTTTACCCTTCAAATGGCATGTTAACAGTTCAATTCTTTGTATCAACCCTTCAACTTTATATTGAAATCATAAATCAATTCAGATCTTATACTCACAAGAATCCTACTCACATAACACTAGAGTTGTATATTGGGAACATCTCTCCATGAATGATAAATAGACATATTTTCAATATATAACTGTAGTAAGACCATAGTCTCTCTCTCTCTCTATATATATATGCTCCTTCAGGTCAAGGTTTAATGGTTTATTGTCATAAAATGGAATTTGGATTAGCTGAAACGCTTTAGCAGGGGAACCAATGATGAGGTTCCATATTAGTAATAAATTAATGGGCCCTATGTATTTAATACTGACGTGGAACCTTTATTATTGGTTCCACAGCCCGCTAAACAACTAAAGCATTCAGCTAAACCTTGCTCCATAAAATGGTGTGGCCTAATTAAACCGAATTTGGGTGCGGTTTAATTAAAAATTTTGGATTTGGTTCAAAGTAGGGGTGAGCAAAAAAACTCAAATCTGAACCGACCGAAAAAACTGATTGAAACCAAAATGAAAAATCGGTTAATCAAACCAATCGGTTCAATTTTGGTTCGGTGTTTTTAAAACACCGAAGGTACCGGTTCGGTTTCGGTTAACCAATATAGAAAACCGGCGGTTAACCGAATCGATCGGTATACATATATTTCTATATATTTTTTATATATTTATGTGTATTATATATTTTTTATATATTATAAATTAATAAATATGCACTACATATATATTTATAATATATGATATATTATTTATTAATTAAAATATAATATTTTATATATATTATAAAAATTTAAAAACTGAAAAACCGACGGTTAACCAAACCGGTCAACCAATTAATCGACTGGTTTCGGTTACCGGTTTTTCAAAAACCGATAATACCGATTCGATCCAAGAAAAATCCCCAYGGTTCAGTTTGTGAGCACCCCTAGTCCAAACAGCGCCCTCACAACCCATCGCAGCCGTGCATTGGGCTGTGAGAACGGTATGTGGACGGTTATGTGAAGACCAAATCCGATCCCAATGAAACCTTATGCCAGATTCCATCACGAAATCAGCCCGGCCGGTTCTCCCAGCTTGGTCTGGATCCTCCAGCAAGATCCGGTCCTCACGGCTTTTTCTTGGTTATTAAGGTCCAACCATTTATAGATATTAGATAAAAGCTAACGAGTATGGTAGACCATAGGAATGGCATAGAAAATAGAAAATCTAATCCTTGTACTTGTGGTGACCGTGCAAGGGCTGATCTAGAACTGATAAACCGAGCTTTACCAGATAAAGTGATTAACCACAGCCACTTGATCTGGCACCCATCTTCTTGATTTGAGATGTGCGCCCCATATCTATAGGTCCCACACCCCAGATCACACCTAGTGTCTATTGGACCAAGGAGCTACTCTGTCATCTTCGTGAGGCCACCTGTTCCAGCTTCCAATTTCCAAACAATCAAACATGCAAAAACCTCTTCTTTGAACGGAAATTGATTCCGGACAGATTTCTCTGAATTCTGATCTTCCGATTCCTATCTTCCTCTTCTCTTCCATAGTTTAAAATTGCAGATGGCTTCTCTTCTGCAGTCATCGTCTCTTCTTTCCAATTCTTCATCTTCTCTTGCAGTTTTTCTCCCGAACACCCATCACCGAAATACAACTTGGAGTCTCCAAGTTCTCAAACCTTTTCGTCCGGAGGCACAGGCAATAACACCTTTCCAATTCCAGAAGTCGGAGTCGAATCATTTGAAGAGAACTCTTATTCGGAGGACAACCCTCTACGAATCACCGGTTCTGGACCCCCCTCCAGCGGAGCCTGACCTAATAGCTTCCCTGAAGCTCAAACTACTGGTGAGCAATTAAATGTCTGACTTGGGCTTGGTTCCTTTTGTCTTTCTAATACTTCAAGTTGATCCAATTTGGAAATCACGGCAAATCCCTAAGCGGGTTTTTATTGAATTTCAAGTTGATCCAATTTGTGAAGTGCTTATTCTGTAATTTGTTCTTCTAGTAAATGGAACTATTGAAGATAAAAATGGGAGCTAGGTTGTCTTTGAAGTGTTCTCTTAGTAAGTCCAAACACTGCCTAGTCCTTTCTGATATTGTCATTGTTGTTGTGGGACCTGAGAAGTCTGGGTTATCATACCACTACCATTGAAAAATTCTCTTTCATGATTGCATGATCCAAGAATTGGTTTATTCAGCACAAATCTTATGAAGAAATTGRAGCTAACAACTTAAAAGTATTCCATGGAACAGTAGAGCTAGGTTGATTTGAGTTCCCAACTCATCTTCATCTGTGAAATAAGTTTATCTCTATTAATTCACCAGATATTTATGTTGGGCATTTTATACAAGTATATAAACAAATGTTTTTCAATGGATATTTTGCATTTGAAGTATCTTAAGCTTCTTAGTTCAATGCATATGAGGTGATGAAATGCAGAATGCTGTTTCTGGGCTGAACAGAGGTCTTGCTGCAAATGAAGAAGATCTTAAAAAAGCAGATGATGCCGCCAAGGAGCTTGAAGCTGTAGGAGGGTTTGTTGACCTATCAACCAATAATCTTGATAATCTCCAAGGGAGATGGAAGTTAATCTACAGCAGTGCATTCTCATCTCGTACTCTAGGTGGGAGCCGTCCTGGCCCTCCTGTAGGGAGGCTTCTGCCCATAACTCTTGGTCAGGTCTGTCTAATCTGCTTGTTTCTGTTGTCCCTCCTAATTATCACCAAGTAATAGCTGAAGAATGTTGCAATCATATTGACAAGTTTTATTTAATGGATAAAAGAAATAATATTGAAATGTACAAAGGTTTCCTTATATGTTAAAATTGACCTAAGTTTCTTTATCAGGTTTTTCAACGGATAGATATTTTAAGCAGAGATTTTGACAACATAGTGGAGATTCAGTTAGGAGCTCCATGGCCACTTCCGCCAGTGGATGTGACAGCTACATTAGCACACAAATTTGAACTCATAGGTTGGTTTTCTCTACTTATTGTGCTCAGTCATTTATCTCATTCACAGCTACCTGAAACTCTTGGTGTTTATTACTTTATTTTAAAAATCTATATTGTTATAATCAAGGTTTAAAATATCGATGTCGGTGGAAATGTCGGTCATCCAAATATAAGAAACATGTCGGAAATATTGGAAATATTGTAAATATTGTAGACATAGTGAAAACATTATAAAATATGCAAAATATAGAATGATATTTTATGAAATGACAAAAGAAGCATAGGCGCACCTTTTTAAATTATTATCCTATTCCATGTTATTAAACAAAACTAGAAACTAGGGTTATAGACAAAAGAATACATTCTGAAGTTGCCTTGTAAACCTTAAGCTAGAACTTCATGATATATCTATATCAATATCTATATAAATATATTAAGCTGAAATGTGTATGTAAGAAGGCTTGAGGATGAGGGAAATGGAATCTAACATAGTTTTTGCATTTTTTTCATAGAAATTACAAGAATGCCACTTTCTACAAACTCTCTCTCTTTTGCTTTTTTTCTTCTTTCAAATTACAAGAATGCCACTCTCTCTCTTTTTCTCTCTCTCTTTTTCTTACAAATTACAAGAATGCCATCTCTCTCTCTTCTTATAAATTACAAGAATGCCACACTCTCTCCAATTGAGGGATACCTCAGCTTGGCATCTCAATTGCTAGGGACCTGCAATCAAAGGTAGTCGAGTTCGAGTAGAACTGCACTCGAACTTCTGAGCTCAAGCTCAAGTCTCTAATTCGAATAGAGGTTGAGCTAGACGACACCTCGACCACTGAGGGAGACCTTGGCTCGACACCTTGGTCACTGAGGAATATCTCGGCTCAGCACCTCGACAACTAAGGGAGACCTCAGCTCGGTACCTTGTCAACTAAGGGAGACTTTAGCTTGACACCTCGCTTGCTAGGGAAACCTCAGTTCAACACATCAGTAGCTGAGGGAGACCTCGATTTGGCACCTTGGCAAGTGAGGGAGACCTCGACTACTTAAGAGACCTGCAATCAAAGATAGCTGAGCTCAAACTTCCGAGCTTTTGTCTTGAGCCAAGTTCGAGCTTGAGCTCAAGTCTCTAATTCAAATAGAGCTCAAGCYTGATAGTTTATGAGCGAGCCCCTGCAACGTAGGGCCCCTGTGCTAGTAAATATATTAAGCTGAAATGTGTATGTAAGGAGACATGAGGATGAGGGAAATGGAATCTAACAGTATTTTTTGCCTTTTTTTCATAGAAATTACAAGAATGCCACTCTACCAACTTTCTCTCTTTTGCTTTTTTTTTCTTTCAAATTACAAGAATGCCACTCTCTCCTACCAACTCTCTCTCTCTCTCTCTTCCCTTATAAATTACAAGAATGCCACTCTCTCTCCAATTGAGGGAAACCTCAGCTTAGCATCTCTGGTCAAGTTCGAGCCGAGCTGAGCTTGAACTTCTGAGCTCAAGTTCAAGTCTTTAATTCAAATCGAGCTCGAGCTTGACGACACTTCGATCACTGAGGGAGACCTCGGCTCGGCACCTCGGTCATTGAGGGGGATCTCGGCTCAACACCTTGACAACTGAGGGAGACCTTATCTCGGCACCTTGTCAACTAAGGGAGACCTTAGCTCGACACCTCGCCTGTTAGGGAAACCTCAACTCGACACTTCAGCAACTGAGGGAGACCCCGAATTGGCACCTCGGTAATTGAGGGAGACCTCAGTTCGGAACCTCGGCTGCTTGAGAGACCTACAATCAAAGGTAGCCGAGCTTGAACTTATGAGATTTTGACTCAAACTTGAGCTCAAGTCTCTAATTCGAATTGAGTTCGAGCCTGATAGTTTATGAGCGAGCCCCTTGCAACGCAGGGCCCCCTCCGCTAGTAGAATTAGTTAAAGCAAAATTTAAACTCATAAAAAATGTAAATGGTTGTAACAGATCAACCAAATAATCTACTATAGAAACAAAAACTATTATTTAACTTCATGTTTGAAATGAATATTGAGCTAGCTCAAAGTTGTAATTTAGGTAAGCAATAACTTGTTACTTCACATATCTACAATATTGTCACCAACTTATGTTAAATACTATCTCTTATACTCCACATTAGTACTGGTAGTGTTGAAAAGGAATATGTCAATTCTAGTAACATGGAAGTGAAAATGGAAATATGTCGTGGATACTTACTATCTCTTGTACTCCACATAGGTCTGTTAGTGTTCATTGGGGAAATGTCGATTCCAGTAAAATCTGTTTTATTAGGGAAATTAGAAACATTTTAAACCATGGTTATAACAACAGCTGTAGTGTATATTTAATGGAATACATGTAAAATCTGTTTTATTTACCTTTATTCTTAGATTCTTAAGATACTGAAAATATTATTTTATATGCTCGACATGTATAGGATCTTCCAAGGTGAAAATTGTATTTGAGAAAACAACTGTAAAGACAACCGGAAACCTGTCACAGCTGCCACCATTGGAGTTGCCGCGGATTCCAGATGCTTTAAGGCCTCCATCCAATACAGGAAGTGGTGAATTTGAAGTCACATACCTTGACTCTGATATCCGCATAACAAGAGGAGATAGAGGTGAATTAAGGGTTTTTGTCATTTCGTAGCTCAATGTAGATGAAGTTCTTGTTCTTTGTTTTATGTCCCAAAACTTTTCTACTTGATACCGCCGCACATACTTTGTTGTTGTATACACTATAGAGGGAGCCCAACAGTAATGTGGTGATTGAAAAAAAGTTTCCCCCTGTATTTGATAAATATTTGCCTATGATTGTGAAGCTCTAGATATTGTTTTTTAATCTTTAACTCAAAAGAAAACAATCTTCAGTGAAAATGAACGAGATTTTTTTTTGTTGATTTCATTAATACAACAACAACCACAGACAAACAACACAGCAGAAGACAACACACTGTTACACTAACACGATACCACTACACTAATAAGAAAAACCAAGACACCGCTCCTACACTCAACTACAAAACTCATAAGTCATAACACGACTCTAAAGGCAAGACAACTGAAGAGTCGTTAGAAAAGGTGACTTAGAACCCAATCTGGAGGGCTGATTCATTACTTTCACGATAATCGAACCAAGTATACTTACATATATACTGACACAGTGGTTTACGGCATGGTTTTTCCCAAAACTGGATTTTCCATAAAAAAAATCGTTGATTTTGGTCAGCAAACTGCTGACTTGAGCGGTTAACCGTTCGAACAGTTTTGATTGGTTTTCATTTTTAATTTTTTTTTGTCAGAATGGGCCGATCATTTGGTTTGAACGGTCARACCGTTTGACCCGGTAACCGGACCCGACTGGTTTGGTCTTTGGGTCAATTTTAAAAACCATGGTTTACGGTGGTTCATTACTTTCACAATAAACCAAGGGGTGTCGACAAGTCTTTTTAAATACCGGTTTTGAAGACATTAAGCTTTTGGGGTCAATGTCTTTAAAGATTAAGACCGTTTGGTGATTTGGGATTTTTTGGACCTTTTTGGGAATGCCTCTTTTGGTCTTTTCATTATGTTATAGAAAAAAAAGGGAAAATTCTCGATTAGTATCATATACTTTAGGTCTAGTGCCATTTTAGTCCCCGAATTTTAAAATGCAAAAATTCAGTATCCGAACTTTCAAAATATGTAAATTTAGTATTTATCGTTAACCAACCCGTTAAGTGGCATTAAAAAAAAAAAAAAAAAAAACAAATGCCCTTCAAGTGTCATCCAATTCTCTTTATCAACCATCCAAACATTGACAAAAAATAAATAATCCCAAATCCTCGTCTCTTCTATTTAAGAAAGTTGAAGTCACTAGAATGTCCACTGAGACGTGACTCAAACTTTCTTGAATAGAAGAGGCAAAGATTTGGGATTATTCATTTTTTGTCAATGTTTGGATGATTGATAAAGAGAATTAAATGACACTTGAAGGGCATTTATTTCTTTTCGAGTGCCACTTAGCAGTTGGTTAATGGGATGGTTAACAACAGGTACTAAATTGGCACATTTTGAAAGCTTGGGTATTGAATTGTCGCATTTTAAAGTTTGGGGACCAAAGTGACACTAGATCCACGGGTACTAATCAAGAATTTTAAGGGAAAGTTCTTGATCAGTAGTATCCTGTACTTTAGGGTTGTGTTAAGTCAGTCCCCAAACTTCAAAACGTGTTTATGCAGTACCTGAACTTTCAAAATGTGTCTAATAGATCCCTACTGTTAACGGTCCATCAATTATTTGTATTTCTGTATCCCGTGATGACATGTGCCACTTAAAACTTTTAAAATGTCAAAGCTACCCTTAAAAGAAGACACTATTCATTGTTTTCTACTTTGAGACTAAACAACTGTGCCATTGCTACGACAATGTCGGGAACTGACCAAGTTCTGGCGACAGTTGAAACTGGCATTGCTATAATTTTCTGTATATTCTTTAATTGTTTTTTGGGTAAATTACAAAGATCCCCCTGTACTATGGGGTCTGTGACAAAAGACCCCCGTGTACTTTGTTTTGCGAAAAAGACCCCATGTACTATGACCGTGAGACAAAGACCCCCTTCCGTTAGTCTTCCATTGAAATCCGTCGTTACAATATTTTTAATCCCAATTCTACCCTTGTAATACCTATCAGGAGAAAATACTGTTCATCTTCCCCGACCTCACAATACACAAACCTGTTGCAGCAGTGACGGACTTCCAAAGTCCTTCTCTCTCTCCCCCAATCTCTTTTCTTCCCCTTCCCCTTTCTCTCCTCCCCTTTTTTCTGAGCGCTCGCGCAGAGGAGAGAACATTGATCTGGACGCCCTCAAATCCATAGCTTGTCACAAATATGGCCTCGCTCGTGCCCCCAAACTCGTCGAGATGATAGCAGTGGTGCTGGAATCGGAACACGAGTCTCTGCTCCCTCGCCTCCGAGCCAAGCCCGTCTGCCCCGCTTCTAGTATCATTGTAAGTTATCTTCTCAGTGAGAGATATTTATAGATATTTATGTATATTTTATATAAATTATATATATATATATATTATAAGTTAATAAATATGCATTATATATATAAATATATAATATATAATATATAATATTATATATATTTATAAATTTTTATTATATATTTATATATTTGTTTTATAATATATAGTGTAAAATAAAAAGACCGAAAAACCGACGTTTAATCGAACCAGTCAACCGATTAACCAACTGTTTCAATTTGGTTTCAGTTATCGATTTTCCAAAAACCAGTAGTACTGGTTCGGTTATGAAAAATGCCCCATGGTTCGGTTAACCGAACTGTGAGCACCCCTTAGCGGAAGTACATGCTTACACTTTTTCACGGTGGATGTTCATGCCACATCACTTAAACATTTGAAAATTATCAACAAAACAACATACGTGACTGAGTCATCCACCGTGAAAAAGTGGATTTGAGCAAAAATTTTTTGGAAACTCTCCAATTCAAAAGTTTCCAACTAAGTCTCTAATACAAACTTTCCAGATTCGTATTTATAAACATATATAAAAGTCTAAAATGATTCAACATAATCGAGTCGAATTCAGATAATTCAAATATTTAATCAGTTGAACTTAGATATCCTATTCTTACCGAATAATTAATCGGATTCGAATTTGGATATGACCTGATTTGATTCGATAAATATCCGAAGTYGACCGATTATTTAATTTTTATATATAATATATAAAATATTTTATATAATTTATATATAATAATTAAGTCATATAAATAATTTATATATAACGAATATCTAATTAGCCGAATTCAGATATGACCTGATTCAATTCGATAAATATCCGCAGTTGACTGATTATTTAATTCCTATATATATAATATAAAATATTTTATATAATTTATATATAATAATTAAGTTATATAAATAATTTATATATATAAAAAATATCTAATTGGTCGAATTCGGATATCCTATTCTTACTGAATAGTTAATCGGATATGAATTTGGATATGACCTGATTCGATTCGATAAATATATGAATTTGACCGATTATTTAATTCTTATATATAATACATAAAATATTTTATATAATTTATATATAGTAGTTAATTATATAAATAATTTATATATTTATATACTTCATATGAATAAAATATTTTATATTTATTAATTATCTAAAGTACTTAATTAATTGAATTCGAATATATTTGAATATTTAATCGGATTCGAATTCAGATATTGCCTAATCCGATTCGAATTCGATCCGTTTACACCCATACCTAAAAGTGAGTGAGTTCATTTTTTATGTCTTCGAACGTCTCTTGAAATGGAAACTTTCCAAATCCAATATTTCCAACTCAGGGCCACTGACAGATATACAGACCCAAAAAAGGGTTTAGTCTTTTGGAGGCATATCTATATATATAGTAAAGCACAGAAGTCCATCGTTTTTCTCTTTTTCTTTTATTTTTGGTTTTATTTTATCCTAATTTTTCTCTAATTCTTATTTATCCTTTCCCCCACTTTCTCATCTATATTTGTTTAAGGAAAGATTGAATTAAAAAACTTTAAAAATATTTAAATATTATAACAAAATTATGTAATAACTTTCAAATATTTATCAAAAACATAAAAATAATTGTAATAATTTAATAATATACAAATTATTAATAATTTTATATTTTTATGAAACTTACAACAAAATTATRCAATAACTAAAAATAGATAAATAATGATATAAAGAAAATTAAATAATAATATTAAGTATAATGTAAATATTTAAATAATATTTACATATTTAACATAACTAAATTTAAATATTCAAGATAACAAAATTAAGTAATAAATTTTAAAAAATCTCACAAACGGAAAAATAATTATAATAGATTTCAAAATTATCAAATTAATAATAATTTTATATTTTACAAAATTAATAGAAAATTTATATAACAACAGGACAAATTATTCAATTTAATAAATAATTAATATTCTTAAATTTAAACAAAAAATAGATTAAATAACATAATTAAGTAATATGTTTAAAAACTTTTATCAAAAAATATTCTCGAAAATAATTTTTAGAAAATTAATATTTTTAACATCTTCATTTATATCTAATATATATATATATTAAAATTAATATTTATTGTATTTTCAATAATTATTGGAGATTAAACCATTGTTATTTAACTTTCTAAAATAAGTGAAAATATAAACAATTTATTTACTCATATGTGTTTGTATTATTTCACTTCCGCTTAACAACAATATATGCATCACACAAGTCCCCACTAGTAGAGGAAGGAAAAAGATAGGTTTAAAAGATTAATCAGGAGTAGAGGATTAAGAGATTTTAGGATTCCTTCCCTTTGRAGTTCAATTTTTCTATGACATGGTTTTAGAACGGGGTTAAAACTATAAATCATGGTTTCAGATGTACTACTCATTGTTGTATTGTGGCCCCACCAAGGTTTAAAGTATTGATACAATACTCCCAATATGAGGTGCACCGTATTCGTAATCATGACCATGGATATGGGATATGCCACGACTAGGTACGTATCCTATGCGTCATGTGTATTGGCATACCTCCGTATTGGGCCAAAAGCGTATTCATGCCTAGTTTAACAATACTATATATTCATGTTTTTTTGGATTTTTTTTTTCTTTTTTGTTTTCAATAACAAACCAACCATGTTGTCAATCACCCCCTAAATGTGTCTTTTTGTTGTATGGAGTAGAATTTATGGCCTCTAAAAGTTCTAATCCATTTTCTTTAATTTTTGGCCCAATTTCGCCCATGGGTTTAGTGGTAGACTTGTATATATTTTTGCCTAAT